AGTGGGACTGACCGTAAGATTATAATGTCCCCCACGGCTGAAAGGGCGAGCACGTTTGGTGGGACTGGGATTCGAACCCGCGACCCTCAGATTGCGAGTCAAGCGCCCTAACCGTGCCGGGCATAGACTAGAGGGAAGGCTGCTAATTAACAACACCCACCGTCAACTCTTTGGCTACTCTTTTACCAACGAATAGTGGGACTGACCGTAAGATTATAATGTCCCCCACGGCTGAAAGGGCGAGCACGTTTGGTGGGACTGGGATTCGAACCCGCGACCCTCAGATTGCGAGTCAAGCGCCCTAACCGTGCCGGGTCTAGACTAGAGGAAAGGCTGCTTGTTAACAACACCCACCGTCAACTCTTTGGCTACTCTTTTCTGAACAAATAGTTCGGTGTAGCAGACCACGAACCCTTGGATTTCTTATAAACAAAACCGAACATTTCCTAAGTTAACGAAGGATTATACTCGATGGCAGTTTCAGCTTTAAAAGTTTGATCAAACTATCTTTGTACCACTTACCTCACATCTTGTTCCGTTGATGTCGTAGAGACTGAGGCGAAAAACTCGATCCCTTAAAAATATTTAAAAAAAACAACATAAGACACATTAAATCTTAAAGGTTCTTTTATTTATTGATATATTTTATTTTAGTAACGTGTTCGACTGCGTTAGGAACAGACGATAAAGTTATAGCGGTCGTGAGTGTTAAATCTTAAAGGTTCTTTTATTTATGATATATTTTATTTTAGTAACGTGTTCGACTGCGTTAGGAACAGACGATAAAGTTATGGCGGTCGTGGGTGACGAATGTAAAGTAATATACAAATGATTAGAATACGATACAGTTGTATTTGAAGTACGCTGCTAAAATTCGGAAAATAAATCTGAAGCCCAATATATCGTTAAATTTACCACTTGTCACTGAGGGGAACTCCACCCCTCATTAGTATCCCTGGGCAAAGGCAAATCGACAGAAATCTGGGTTTGTTTTATAGTGGTAGAGTTTATATGATATGTATGGTGTTTTGTTTGTTTGTTTATTTGTTTTGGAGTTCGCGCAAAGATACACGAGGGCTATCTGCGCTAGCCGTCCCCCTAAGGCTAGCGGGAAGGGCAACTGGTCATCACCACCCACCGCCAACTCTTGGGCTACTCTTTTACCAGTCTCATTATCACGCGCCCCCAAGGCTGAAAGGGCGAGCATGTTTGGTGGGACGGGGATTCGAACTCGCGACCCTCAGATTGCGAGTCGAGCGCTCTGACCACCTGACGTTAAAGCAAACGGAAATTGGTAGTATTAGTTGGTTTAAACATTCTTACGACACCTCACTTTTCGCCAATTTTAACCTGACATCATCAGTTGATGACACACCCGACGTTTTGCGAGCACGTTTGGTGGGACGGGGATTCGAACCTCCGACCCTCAGATTGCGAGTCGATCTCCTTAACCACCTGGCCATGCCGGACCAGGGTGTTTTGAGCTGTCTTATACTGACCACAGTGAAGCCACTTTTGTAAAGGATTTGACAAATATGTAGTAATCTAACTTACTGAATTATTCAGGAAACTATTCTGTTTCGTGTGGTAACGTGACGCGATGTTTCGTGTGATAACATGGGGTGATGCATTGTGGGTTGCTGTGATCTACCTAAAACAGTAAGCATCAACGTGTAAACACGGAACGAGGGCGAGTTAACCAACGGGTGAATGTAGATTATGTGTGTTTACAAGGAAGCTAGTCAACAACACACACCGCCAACTCTTGAACTAATGTAATCAAATAGTAGGATTTGTTTGTTTGTAATTAAGCACAAAGCTACACAATGGGCTATCTGTTCTCTGCCCACCACGGGTATCGAAACTCGGATTCTAGCGTTGTAAGTCCGCAGAGATACTGCTGTGCCACTGGGGGCCGTAGGATTTGACCGTCACTTTTATAACGCACCCATTATGCGAAGCATGATTTTCCATCAACGGGGCACAAACTACAAACCCTCGTATTCACAGTAAAACCCGCTTGTCTCGACAAACAACACGAGGCAACGAACATTCTTTGTACCACATGACAACAGGGGATAATGGTGTCAATATTTATTTTTATTTAACTACAAACACATGTGAACCTGGTTCGTGTTTCATCAAGTTCATTTTCACGCATCTACTTGTGCCTCCACATATAAGGGGTGGGTGGGGTGGAAAATATGTCTGTGTCCACTTTACAGCTGACCAACCCAGAAAGAATTTCACTTCCCTATACGTCAATATTTAACACCTTTTGTGACCTTCGCGCGTGCATTTCGACGTCAAGATGCAATGGTCAGAATAGACAGTTTTTAATTTATTTACTGTTAGTGAAAGTTTGCTTTTCAAGACTCGGAGAGTACAAAGAATCGTTATCTTGTTCAAAGTCTACGAATCACGATGGTTTGTACCGTCGTTATTAATGGGCCAAGTTCAGAAGTTTCTGGAAAACCTGAGCTTTACACACACGTAAATACCAACAAATAATTAATAACACGTTATCAATGTCGTGATATATGCTGTCAGTGCTCAAACACCTATAACAAACAGTAAATCAGAAAATACTTTATTTCTAAAGAAGTATAACAATAAAAACTCGTGCTGGGTTGCCATATGTTTCCCCAAAAGGCCATTCACTCTTTGTATTTATTTAGTGGGGTAACATACTTGTTCCACATTTACCCCCCCCCCCTGTATGGAGTTACTTATTTTTTAACTCCTACATCTCAGAACTTGTAGGATTTTATACACCTCTTACGTATAGGGTTAAATATTTTTAAACCCCCCACCCCCACATATACACATTTGTACTTCTTAACTTTAAATAATATTGTGAATTTTCGTGATATGTCTAAAGCTAAATCTCAGTTTAGGCCGTGGTGAAACGTTTTTAATTAAGGGTGGTGATTCATTAACCCCCGAGTTTAAATTGCTTCTCTTTCCTCGCCCGAGGGGACCAGTCGAGAAATCTTGTTCACTCCATAACAATCGTTGTTCATAAAAAGCTGATGATTTAGCGCTAAGACTATTATTACTATGTCTGTCGTATTCCAGACGACCTTATGAGCACTTGTATTGGACGAAAGACCTCTTCCGCACCGGATATGGTAGTTGACATATTATAATATATTCTGTTTTGCTATCACACAAACGTTCTAAAAAATAGGCTTGGCAAATATCTATCATGGCCGAATTATCCACAATGCCGAGCCCAAGGGCCCTTGCCTTAAAGAGGTTCACAAAAAGTGTTCTTTGTTCTGACCTTTGAATAAATGTTTTTAATCGAGTTTTATATTTGAATTGAATTTGATAAAAACTCAAAATGTAGATATTTTAAAAATTTATAATTTTTATAGTTTTTGCGTTTTTAATATTGTGACATTGATTACAGTTATATGATTTTATCCTTATATTTAAAGCTAATATCTTTTTGGTTAGAAAGTAAGCGCAAATAGGCCTAGTGCGCGAGATTTAGACTCCTTGTAGCGTTAGTGACCGGGTTCATAGAATTGACTGCCATATGGATGAGTTTTGAGATCATAATTTACACAATGTGTGGTGGGGTTGGGAGCTAATTTTTTCAGCCCCAGGAGCCCACTTTGGGTTAATCCGGCACCACCATCAAGAATTAGCATATTGACCCAAAGTCCAAACAAGCCAGGTAAAAATAATATTTATGAGGATCTAAGAAAGAATTAGAGACGAGCTGAAGTTGAGGATTTTAAAACTGATCCATTTCTCGTTCCCCTCACATCAAAGGGTATTTTATGAAGTTGATGATTTTACAACTGATCATATTCTCGCTCCCCGTCACATCAAATGGGTTTTTATAAAATAACCTGCCACGCCATATTCTAGACAGCAAAGTCGTATTTTGAGAATATTGATCATACCAAAGCTATGTATTATAAGTTCGTTTCATGATTTCCACGTCTGCAAACTGTCGTTAGCCTTTGCTAATGGTTGTGTTGCGTCAGCGAGGTCACGTGACTAGTATCACGCCACTCCTTCTCTCGAACCTTCGTGAATTATCGGGAGATTACTAGATTGGGGGTAGTCTGGTATATATAAGATGGTCACAACGTGACGGGAACAGTGTAGTGAGTAATTGAACTGCAGTATTGTTGAAGCTGCTAATGGTTGTTCTAAAACAACCCAAAGTAGTACCTTAACAGGAGTGTTGTGTGAAACTCAATATATCTTACTTCACACTGAATTATGCCTGTTGAAGAAGTGTAAGTTTATTTTCGTTCCTCGACGAGGATTAACAATAAGGTATAATTATGGAAAATTAACGGTGTCATGCTGTTTTCTAGGGTTAGAAATATTTCTGAAAAAAGTAAACCGAGACCGAGCAGGATTTGAAAAATAATTATACTAAGATCTTGCAAACAATTACTTAAAGTATATACAACCGATTTCTACAAAGCACGGGGCTCGTGACAGACCACCCCTCACGCCTGCTGCCACCCCTCAAGTTGAGGGTTCCTCGCTCACTGAAGTTGAATAACTGTAATTAGTTACGTCGTTCATGAGTTATGGTTCTTGAGCGAGTGGTTTCTGTGGTAACCGCAAACGCCTTACGGTTTATAATCATCACCTGAATTAACATACTGTACATCTCAGCCAACAAAACACTGTGCCGCTAGACACGCTTAAAATATATTAAACAGTAAAACTGTCGATGAATATTGAATAGTTTGTATTATCAGGTTTATATATCAAACAGATTAGAAAAGAAATTAGCTACTAAATAAGTTAACACATTTTTTTTTCGGTTTGAATCTTTGTAACAAATGGAACGCGTGAAAATTGACGCTGCTATATAACGTTGTGAATAACAACTTTGTCCTGGTATCAACGATTGGAGAGGAACAAGGTAAGAAAGTTCTCGAAGTGCATTCATAAGGAACAACCCGTGTTCGATTTTAATGTGTAATTTAAAAACACAAACAATTCTATACTTGGAACTAATTTTACGCGGCCACTCTGCAAATACATCCCCGATCGTAAAAGATTAAAGAAAAAAATCAAACACGCATACACGTGCACAAAAAAACCTCTTAGTAAAATCTTCACACAAGCTGGCTGTCATAAGGATTAGTACATCTTAATTCTGCCGATCATCCTTCACGCAGTAAGCTGGCTGGGATTAGATGTGATACATCTTAATCCGGCAGATATCAAAACACACTCAACAAGCTGGCTGGGATTAGGTGTGATTACACCTTAATCCTGCAGATATCAAAACACACTCAACAAGCTGGCTGGGATTAAATGTGATACATCTTAATCCTGTAGATATCAATACACTCAACAAGCTGGCTGGGATTAAATGGGATACATCTTAATCCTGCAGATATCAAAACACACTCAACAAGCTGGCTGGGATTAAATGTGATACATCTTAATCCTGCAGATATCAATACACTCAACAAGCTGGCTGGGATTAAATGTGATACATCTTAATCCTGCAGATATCAATACACTCAACAAGCTGGCTGGGATTAAATGTGATAATCTTAATTTCATTTTTAATCCGTGTAAGTTAGTGTACAAAAACAGAGAGGCTTTGTTATGACTGTTTGTTAACTTGCTTTGTCTGGACTGGCCAAAGTTATTTTGTTATGGCTGTGAGGCGAAGAACATCCGCGTGGTAAAAGTTCAAACATAGACGTTTACTTTTAAAAGGTTTGGAATATATACACGTGATATTTACGAGTTCTTGGACAAAAATTTCGGACCTAACAAATGAGCCAGTCAATGACTGTTATAAAAATTACTGAAATAGGTTAAGATTTTCTAAATATAACATGGCGTCCAAATGCATAATGACAGATGTTGCGGATAACATTTCCTAGTTAGTGTGCGAGCACGTGACTTCGCTTTCTTATTTTCGAATCAACACCACCTAGTATCATGATAAATACAACCGGTTTTTAGCACCCCTACCAACATCTACATTTTTTTTTCTCCAGGTGTTGTGTAATTGCTATCATTACAACTAATGTACAGCAATCATCACGTTTAAGAAAGACTCTTGATGTGCTTAGACTACAAATTCATCCAAGCTCATGTCTTGAAGCTGACGCCGAAACTCAATCCAACAACAAATACGAAGCAGAGAGATGAAATATTAGTTTGCTCCATGACCACCACGGGAATCGTATCCCGAATTTATGCTTTATAAGCCCGAAAGCTTACCGCTGAGACACCGGAGGAGAGAAACACAGACAGATTTAACATATTTTTAACAAGTTATTTTTCTCGAATATTGCGGAAACAATTATAACCAAACGACTGATCGTTTGTTTTGAATTTCGCGCAAAGCTACTCGTCCTTCTAGAAAAAAGGCCTCCAATATCGCCAACTTTTGGCGTACTTGTTACCAACAAAAAGCGGGATTGATCGTTCCATTATAACGCCCCCCACGGCTGAAAGAGCAAACATATTCGAGCCCACAAATTGCTAGTCAAGTGCCCTAACCAAAAGAATAAAAAAAATAAAATAATAAACTTTAATCTGTGGTTATGAAAAAAAAAGTACTATTAAATAAATATGAAACACACTACCAACGGTTATATCCAATAGCATCATGTATTTCGTTAGGCTTAGTTATAATCTGTAAGTTTTTGTTTTGTTTTTTAAATCTGAAACACATTTGTTTCAATAACTTTTCGAAAAACAAATAAAGACAGATCAAACTAGGCTTAGTTATAATCTGTAAGTTTTTGTTTTGTTTTTTAAATCTGAAACACGTTTGTTTCAATAACTTTTCGAAAAACAAATAAAGACAGATCAAATAGTTCGTTATAAGTTATCACAAAAGGTGGCGTACTTACATGGCTCCAACGTATAAAACTTCTCTCTTTGGATCCAAATAAAATGTCTGGTAATACAGTTCACCGCAACTAAATTTTCGGATTTTATCTGGAAACAAAGCAACAAATATTCAACGTTCATTTTTTATACCATCTAGGACTTTTACGTAATGTTTTTTGTGTACTATAACCTGAAATGGTTCAGTGCATACAGCGACACCGCATCACGATAAGATGGGAGTTGCAACTACATACACTTAAATGTGGTTTTCTTCAAGACACAAAATGGCTCGTCTCACGGGACTTAATTATCTTTAATAAATTAAATAATGATACAGTTTGAGTTTCATTCGAACCTGTAGAATGGAATTACTAATAAGATACCTTTGTCTAATTATTATTACTATTCTTTTACTACGTTACCAAGATCCTCACAAGTTTATAATTGAAGTAAAAACCCCAGAAATCTTAGCGTTCTATGTTAGCTTGACTTGCTATGAACAATAACGTCTCCATGATGGAAAATTGGTGTAATCCGTGTAAACTGAAGTTTTTTAAGGATTTTTTACAAATAACATTACGTTTTACGTTTACCTATACCACTACATATTTTAAAAAACCGTACATAAAAACACCCCGTTTTGCTGCCTATATCACAGCTCACTGAACAAGGTCGAAAATTCTAATTCTACAGTACAAATGAGCTTGATGAAAAGCCGACATGATGCAACATTTTTTTATATCTGAGCTAGCTGTTCAATACTGAAATCCTCAAATGGTCAGTGTATAATCTTTAGTCCTCAAATGGTCAGTGTATAATCTTTGGTCCTCAAATGGTCAGTGTATAATCTTTGGTCCTCAAATGGTCAGTGTATAATCTTTAGTCCTCAAATGGTCAGTGTATAATCTTTAGTCCTCAATGGTCAGTGTATAATCTTTAGTCCTCAAATGTTCAGTGTATAATATTTAGTCCTCAAATGGTCAGTGTATAATCTTTGGTCCTCAAATGGTCAGTGTATAATCTTTGGTCCTCAAATGGTCAGTGTATAATCTTTAGTCCTCAAATGGTCAGTGTATAATCTTTAGTCCTCAAATGGTCAATGTATAATCTTTAGTCCTCAAATGGTCAATGTATAATCTTTAGTCCTCAAATGGTCAATATATGTATCTTGGTTCTCATTTGTTTACTGTACGATCTTTGGTCTTTTGTTCTCAACTGGCCAATAGATGATTTTGGGTCCTTAACTAGTCGGTGTACGAATTTGAGTCCTCAACTGGTCAGTACACGAGTTTTATTACCTAAAATGCAATTATAATGGAACTTGTTATTAATAGCTTTTAAGGAACTTGGATTAAGGAGAAAATATTATCACATTAATTAAGTATATGCTAGAATCCTTTCCTGCATCCCCGCATGGTTTCTTTTCCCTTGTTTCTGGACAAGGTCCGACGAAATGTGAGGTCATCCCTCTTTGCTTCGCTACTACAAGTGTATTTGTTTCCAATTTTTCGCGCACAGCTACACAAAGAGCTGTCTGCACATTGCCGTTTTTAATTTCGAACTGACAGACTAAAGAGAAGGCAGCTAATCAACAACAACCACCGCCACCTCTTCGCTAAGAAAATAGTGAAATTTTAATGTCACTCTTATAGCGCATCCACGCCCCCAAAGTGCGGAGTGCGTCTTTGAGACAACGAACTGTGAACCACGAACCTTTGGATTCACAGACCGAAAATGATAAACATTAGGCAAAGCCCGGCCCAGGCAAAAGAAACGAAAAAGTAGGAAAAGAGCCAGAAGAGCCAACAATGACAAACAGATGTCATATGGGAAGAAAACCAATGAAATATCAAACGGAGTGCGATATTCTAAACAGTTGAAAAAAAACAAAAACGTTTTACCAAAACTGGGATCAACTCGGCGTACTGGTTCGGTGAGGCAGTGGTAAAATGACGAAAAAATGACTTTCGTGGATGGGCGGAGTTTATCTGGAGGAGTGTGATGCCAAACAGTCATGGGTGTCAGGTACCAAATCAGCTTGGAAAGAAACATCAGTGTGGACAAGAAAATCTGTTTAAGTGGAGACATGAAAAAAGGACTGACAGACAGGGGCAAAGTGGTTTGAGAGGAAATTGAGACCAGTAGAAAAAACATTTACACAAGAACGTAGTGAGCAGAAAGGAAAAGAGGACAAGCGTCTAGCGTGATTATTTTGTCAAACGTGATTGAGATGAATTGCACGTGTAGCAACCGATGACTTGGCGAAGACTGATGTTGATGGGGACATTTCTTAGCACGTGGAAGTTTAGTGTCGAGTGTGATTGAAAGACACGAACTTAATGAAACTGGTCCCTTGCCAACAGGTCGAGAGAAATATGGTAAACAACGTGGGGGAGGGGGAGTTAAGGCGGCATCACAGTGGGAAGAGAAAATGTCATTAGAGGAAAGATAAAAATCAAAATGAGAAAGAAAAACGGAAAGCAGCCAATTAGCTCTAGTTGGGGGGGGGGAGACAGTAAAGACTAAAATATTCCAAGGCAGCTGCAAAGGAAGACGACAAGTGAAATTAGACACAAACGAGACGCCAGATTCAATTTTCGGATGTTTTAATCAAGGGAGAGAAGGTGAAAAACTCTACAAAACTAAAGAAGACTTATTATTTAAGTAGAAGCACAAACGTTGTGAAAAGAACTGTGGTGAATGTTAAAAAAAAAAACGTTTACATCGTTAGAATTCGGAAGGATTAATACAAAATAAGTGCGAGATATCAAAATTATTAAGCCAACAATTTATAAACTAAATACAAAAAAATTCAAAATGAATCCAGGTCAACAGAATGTTAATGTTGACCAGTCACACTCTCCACGTGCGGTGTTCAAGCAATTTGATGTCCAACGGATAAATATAAAAGTATCCTCATGACCACCTTCCGGAACTATAATGCATAAGACAATATCTAAGTCAGACAGTAAAACCAAAAACCTGGAATAGAGTCCAAGGAGAACATCCCGGAAATTCGTAATAAAATTCACTGCCTTTACCCCCACAATTAATAACTTGCAGGGTCATACAGTTGGAATATGTCTTTGAGAATCAGTTTTTTTTTTTCGTATGTTTCAGTCTATAATGATTTATCAAGAACATTTGAACATAACTTAAAAACATACAAAAGTCAAAATGCTAATCAAGGAATACTTAAAGGAAATGGCCAAATATACGTAAAAAATGTTGTTTCCATGAAACACTAGAAATAGGATAGTCATTCTCTATACATGCATTGCTACTAAAAAAATAATCAGTAATGCCTATCATATGACGGGCATTCAGCTTGTACAGAATACTTTTCACTTGTCTTGGGTTGAGTGGGCTGACGTAACTCAACCAATGTATAGCCCACCAATAATCTATATAAGTAAAGTTCAGTGTGTATATATATGTGTGTGTATATCTGTTCCTTATACGTTTCCACATTTATTGATTAATCAGCACCAAACTTGACACAGTGATACAGGATGACATGAGGGGGTTGGACTCCCCCCATTTTCTATATATATATATA